AAAGCCTTCAATAAGGTCCAACATTCATTTATGATATGAACTTTACAGAAAATTGGAATAGATGGTCTTTACCTCAATATAATAAAGGTCATCTATGCCAAACCAACAGCCAGTATCATACTTAATGGCCGAAAATTGAAAGCCTTTACTTTAAAATCAGGCACAAGACAAGGATGTCCTTTATTACCACTCCTATTTAATATAGTACTGGAAGTACTCGCCAGAGCAATTAGATAAGAGAGAAAAATAAAAGGGGTAAAGATAGGAAAAGAAGAAGTTAATTATCATTGTTTGCAGATGACATGATATTCTACATAGAAGATCCCCTGAACTCCATTGATAGACTCTTAGATATAATAAATAAATTCAGTAATGTAGCTGGATACAAAATCAATACTCAGAAATCAATAGCATTCCTATACACCAACAACAAAATCACAGAGAGGGAAATAAGAGAAGCCACAAGCTTCACACTAGTAAGCAAAAAAAAAAAAAAAAATGAAATATTTAGGAATTACTCCTAAAAAAGAAGTGAAAGACCTATACAGGGAAAATTATAATACACTGAAAAAAGAAATTGAAGATGATCTCAGAAAATGGAAAGATATCCCTTGCTCATGGATAGGAAGAACAAACATTGTGAAAATGGCCATTCTCCCAAAACTGTTATACAGATTCAATGCAATCCCAATAGAAATACCATCAACATACCTTATAGATCTAGAGAAATCACTCCTAAATTTCATCTGGAACCAGAAGAGACCTAGAATAGCAAAGGCAATTCTAAGCAGCAAAGGCAAGGCAAGAGGCATCACAATCCCTGACTTGAAGTTATACTACAAACAACTGTAGTAAAATCAACATGGTACTGGAATCAAAACAGAGACAAAGATCAATGGAATAGATTAGAAGATACAACCACAACTACAAACACACTCAACCACCTTATCTTTGATAAAGGAGCCAAGCAGGTTCACTAGAAGAAAGACAGTCTTTTTAATAAATGGTGTTAGAAAAACTGGCTCTCCATTTGTCGAAAACTAAAACGAGACCCATGCCTATCACCATGTACTAAATTAAAATCTAAATGGATCAAAGTTCTGAATATTAAAACAGAAACACTAAATCTATTGGAAGACAAATTAGGTAGAAACCTTGAAGACATAGGGGTAGGTAGAGAATTCATGAACAGGACTCAAACCACATGCGAAATACTTCCCAGAATCTATAACTGTGACCACCTCTTATTAAAAAGTTTCTGCATGTCAAAAAAAAGTCTCCAGCATAGTGAAAAGAAAACCCACAAACTGGGAAAAGATCTTAGTGAACTTTCCCTTAGACAAGGGACTTCTGTCTAAAACATATAAAGGATTAAAAATACTCAGACCCCCAAAATTCAAAGATCCAATCCAAAAAAGGGTATCTAAGGTGAATATACACACTTCTCAGATGAAGAAATACAAATGGCAAATAAATACATGAAAAAATGTTCATCATCATTGGTCATTAAGGAAATGCAAATTAAAACCACACTGAAATTCCATCTCACGCCTGAAAGAATGGCCAGGATCAAGCAAACCAACAACAACAAATGCTGGAGAGGCTGTGGGGAAAAAGGAACTCTCCTACACTGTTGGTGGGAGTGTAGACTGGTACAACCTTTGTGGAGGTCAGTCTGGAGATTTCTCAAAAATCTGGCATTGGAAGTCCCATTTGATCCAGCTATTCCACTTGTAGGCATATTCCCAGAACTGAAAGCATCATACCACAGTGATATATGCGCACCTATGTTTATAGCAGCACAATTTGTAATCGCCAGATCTTGGAAACAACCCAAGTGTCCAAAAACTGAGGAATAGATAAAAAAAGTTGTGGTATTTCTATACAATGGAGTACTACTCAGCTTTAAAGAAGGATCACATTGAGATATTTATCAATAAATGGGTGCAACTTGAAACCATACTCAGAAGTGAAATAAATCAATCTCGCATGTGTGAATATTGAATAGTTTCCCTAGTGTAGGAAATGATTCAAATATATAAAAGTATGTGGTAACCATGATTCCCCATTTTGTGGCCTTGAAGCTTTATAAAGTTTTCACTTAGTAATTGGAATGGCTTTATTCTGTGCTGCTTGATACTATTGCCTGTGATGAAGTGAACAGCTATTTTGAAGAAAAAAAGACATCATAATAGCTAGTCCTGATTAAATACAACTTTGTTTTGAAGCCCCACCAAACTATGGCTTGTCTGTATCCATTGGTTTTATCATGTTGTATCTTGCTGGATTTTATTATATGTGATAGTATAAACAAAAATTTTTATAGGCAAAGAGATAATATAGAAACCATTGTTTGTTTTCTATTAGCTGATTCTAAATACCCTGTAATGCTTTCATCCACTTAAATGGTTTTACACTGACTTGATATTTTCGAAGCTATAGTATATGAAGTTATATTCAAATATTTCAGGGGAAAAGACACTATGGTAACTGCTATTAAGTCGGGTTATTTGGTGGTGAAGCACTAGGTTGCTAAAACTGTCATGCTTTGACTTGTATTGTTATGTTGTTATGTCCTCTTTTATCTCAATCTCTCCCTTTTTCATTAAAAAATATGTAATTATTTTTTATTACTTTTTTAATTAAGGGAAAAATCAAAAAAATTAGCAGGATATATTACAGTAACTTCTTGATTTCCTATTAACTTGATTTGAAGCTCTGTATTACTCCCACTATCTTGTTTTGACTGATTAGATTCTGTTCTGTTCTGTACGATAGAATCAAGTTTGAGGGTATAGGCAACTACTTTGAAGGCAATAAGATTCACTATAATGCCCATTCTGGTTTGACTGTTATCCTCTTTTGAAGTCCTGTAATTTTTACAATGTTTGGTTTTATTGGTCTTGTTCTCTATTGTTTTGTTCAAATTTATAATACCTAATGAGATAGACAATTCTTCTTAAGGAAGCAAGAGGCATTATGGTAACCGTTGTTGATAACCTTGTACTCTGTTTTTACATCATGTGCTATGTCTATCCTTGGTTTTGACTGACAGCTTTGTTTTGTCATATTTGATTTTATTCTCTTCCAAAGGAAAAAATAAGTAATAAGAACTATGGGAGAAATAAAACCCAAGATGTGTAAATTTTGTTGTAATAAAAAGAGGGGAAAAAAGTGCTCTAAAGGATACAACTGCAAGTGTGTTTAGGGGTGTTAAATAGATGACCATATTAATGTTTTTGATTGGGTCATTGAACACAACTGTCTGCAATCTCACTGTTTGAATGTCCACTTTGTATGCTTTGATCCTGTGACTTGAGGAACTATCTCTAAGATGATAATGTGTAATCTATTAACTGGTGGTTTCTTACTGTTTTTGTTTCTTTTTTTTTTTTTTTTTTTTTTGCAGTTCTGTATTACTTGTACCCTTACACTGTTTTGTTTTGTCTTTTCTCTTTTTCCTTTTAAACAAAATTTAAAAAAAATACTTAGCAAGTGGCATTTGAATGTGTGTAAAATGTGTAGTCCGAAAATCTCATCATATTACAATTCAGTATTGACAAAATGGAATCTGCAGGCCCCCTAGACTCTCACACCACCAGTAAACACATTTGGCCCTTCAGAGATTTTGCTTACCTCCTTCAGTCCATGACAGCATGATGCTTCATCTCTTTGGAGTCCTCCTTCTTTGCTGACTTTTTACTACAAGATGTCCTGCTTTAATTCTGGAATTGTCTCTCTCCATTACACATCAACTTTTCTCTTTATTTTAATTAACATAGTTTTCTGAGAAAAGCATATGAACTTCTCAGCTCTATTAAAGAGAAGCTGCCTCTTCTGGAATCCCACCAGAACTAGCACACAGGGTTAACCATGTCTTAGCTCTTTGCCACATTTCTAAATAATTTATTTTCCATCTTCAGGACAAAACATCTCCAATACTGATACTGGTATTAGCCAGCTATGAAGCAGTATGCCTTTGTTCTTGGAATCATTTGCTGAGTAGCCATATTCTTTTCTTTTCTTATTGAAAGTTTGCCACCAAATTTTTGTTCCTTTTTCCTAACTCAGTCCCTTGGGTCTGCCTTAGACTTGGTAGCATCGCTCATGATGGGGAGAACCATTAAACAATTGGGTCTCTAAAGAAACCCAATTTCTTCCATAATCCACTTGGAAACCTCACTACTGTGTCTTTGAACAGACTGGAATTGCACAGAGCACCTTCTATCTTTGTGGGTCTAATACTTCTTTTAATTGTCCATGTTATATCTCAGTTTAAGTGTACTGTAATAATAATTTGAGAACTGGCAAGTGTAAACTGAATCTAAACATAGTTAACTGGAGTCAGTTATGAAAACTTGTAGTCTGATCCTTTGTTTTGTAAAGGAAAGAATAGATTTTTTTCAGATTTTAAGATAAGTTCTTTGCAATCTTGTGAGATAAAATGTGCATTTCTTTGGAGGTCACTTTTGACAGTTTTTTTTTCTAAAAATATATCAATTCCAATCTAGTGTTCATATTTGGAAAAATGTTCTCTTAAAATTTTTGTGTTTCTCAGTATTATACATATTCCTTCATGTCAACTCTAAATTACTCTTGATTACACTAATCTCCCACTCTACATTTCTTCTCTCACTCTTCTTTACTCTCTCTTTTTCCCTTTAACTTTTACCCATGCTTTCTTTCTCTCATTTTTCCTTCAACAAAGTGAACAAATGTTATGAGACTATGATGTTGTAATATTTGGTTTAATAAGTTTACTACAATTATATTTTTGCGTTTCTTTGCACAAGTTTGCATATATATATAGAGAGATATATATAATTGTGTCATAACATTTCAAATTCCCATACTGTCTGTTTTTCTGTTTTGCATCAGGAAAAAAAGAAGACTAGGATACATCAGGCAATTACACAACCCTTGAATTGCTTTGAATACTAAGTAAAGACATTTATTTAAAGGATTCTACTTTTTGCACACATTAAATATTCGAGGCTCTTTTATTTATCAATTATTTTGTCTAGTACTTTCCTCAGAGCTACTTGCATTTCTTTGTTCCTGAGACTATAAACAATGGGGTTCAGCAGAGGTGTCAGCACTGTGTATGCCACAGCCATCAGTGTATCTTCACTGAAGGAGTCACTGTCACTATTCTTGGGCCTCAAATAGACAAAGCACGCAAATCCGTAGTGGATGGAGACCACAGTGAAGTGAGAGGAGCAAGTTGAGAAGGCCTTATACCTCCCTTTTGCAGAAGGCATCTTCACAACTATGGACAAAATGAAGACATAGGAAATCATCACTAAAACAAAGCTGCCCACTAATACAAAGGCAGTGAATGCAAGCAGAACCATTTTCTGAAAAAATGTGTAATTACAAGCAAGAGAGGCTACAGGTGCAATGTCACAAAAAAAGTGCCGGATAGTGCTAGAGTTACAAAAAGACATATTGAATACTATGATGACAATGCACAGGGAAACTAGGAATCCAACCACAACAGAGGCCATCATGAGCTGAAAGCAGATCACCCTTGTAATCAGCATGGGGTAATGCAGTGGGTTATGGATAGCAACGTAACGGTCACAGGACATGGCAGCCAAGATGAAGCAGTTATTTCCTCCTAAACCAAAGTAGAAAAACATCTGTGTGGCACACTCAGGAAAAGAAATGGTCTTGCTTTCTGAAAGCAAGTCTGCTAACATTCGGGGGATGATAACCATAGTAGTACATGTTTCTGAAAGGGAGAGACCAAAGAGGAAGAAGTACATGGGGGTGTGAAGGTTCTGACTGAGTTTGATGACCACCATTATGGTGAAATTTGCGAGTAAGATTGTCACATGGGAAGAGAAAATCACTATGAAGAGAAGAGTCTGCATTTCTGGGAAACTGGAAAACCCCCATAGAAAGAACACATTCACTGTGGTGTGATTGCCCATCTTTCTTGTGTCAATGTTTTATGCACCCTATCCTGGAGGTCAAGACTCTGAGGTGATTATGAAGTGTGCCTACATCAGTGGGCTCCTGGGTAAAAACTACCCATCTTAAAAATGGAGCCTAAATAAAGGAAATTAAGCTAATTTGGCTGAACTCAATGTCAAGACTTAGAGTGAGGAAAAGATAATTTTATTATTTGAATGCATAAATGATATATCAGCTATCCTCTGGAAGCCCACTACTCCGGCACCCCTTTGTCTCTTCTACAGTCAAAATGTGCATGACAGAAGAAGATATCAAAAAAGGACTTCTGTTGCCACCCTCCAGGAATATGATGGGTAAAATGCTTAAAGACTATCATGCAGAAAGGACTAATAAAATATTTCATGATCGTATCCAGGTATAATGTCATCTCATTCGATAGCAGTTGAAGGGGAGACAAGAAAATTTATTCTGAATGATTTCCAAATACTCTTCTAGAATCACCATTCTTTCATGTGGTACACAGAATGCCATCTACGTGGTTCAGTCTTGTACCAGTGAGTAGATCGAATAAATGAATTTGCTGTGTTCCTTTGTACTGGATTCTAATTAGTAACCATTAGCAATGCCTGGGCAGTGCAATAACTCTCCCATACAGATATGGTGCGATGTCAGGAACATTATGAATAGATTATCCCAGCTCTGGATGATGTAGTTGTGTCATGAGGTGGTGGTGAATCCTCCGATTTTCAGGGTATTTCAAAATATTTTCTAACTGATGTACTGTTGGAAATGGCAGCTTTGCAGCATAGCTGGGATAACTTGGTTTAATTATATGTGGTTCCATTTGTATTTCCATCAGTTCTCATAATGTTCACTCTGTGTGAAAAGTAATGAAAGTAATGACTAATTTCCATAGAGTGAGGTTTGATTTAAGGCAGAGGGAAAAAAAAACAGTGTATAGAGAGAGGTGTGGAATAGGAGTTGAAGAAAGAAAGACACACTGCAATGTATTTTGTAGAATTTTCAAAGCTTCAAGAGTGAAGACAAAAATATATTATTAGTTGAATGGCTTATGTATTATGTAAATAAGAATAGAATATATGCAGAGACCAATTAGATAACCACTATTGTTAAACGCCTAAAATGTACTGGTCAATTTGCTATATTTCACAGAATTCTCACTAAGAATACTTTTGCAATCATTCTGATCTCATTAACAAATTCATCTGTATTTATATCTGTGTTATGAGGATATTTTTGCATGCCCAATTCTGTAATAATTGGGCAGAGGATTATTTTACTATTTTTGCCTAGCTTCCACGAATCTTGTAAATATGCCAGGACACCTCATTAAACTAATGTCATTCTATTTTCCTTTGGAAGCATGTATGGTTTCTTTTTAAGTGCACTAATTCTTCCAAACTATATTGATTATTTAGTATTTATTTAATTTGATTACATACAGAAGAGTATTCTCTGTTTCACTCAGTACATATGAAATATGTCTTTTATATATATTATTTAACATTGCTTATTTAAGTGATAGTTTGCCACCCCCATTCAAAAACAAAACAAACAGAAAAAGAAAAACATAAACAAATGTGCTATAAATTGTAAGAGTGATCTTCTTGCAACAGAGGAAAGAGAAACTTATTTTCCAGTGTAGATGCTATTTTGTTTTCTGTGGCATCATACAATGACATAACAGGTTCTCTGTTAGAAATATAATGGATCCTAGGGGAGACTTCTTGAGTTATATATCCTTGCTCATGTTAGTCTCAAATTTGGACAGATCTTTCCAGAAGGATAAAACCCACATTTAGAAGAAATTGTCATATCTAGATCTTGAAGCTCTCCATGTGATTAGGTTGCATCCTACTTCCATTTCTATTGTTAATAAATTTCATTTTTTTTTCATAAACTCAAGGAAATTAGTGATTGGGAATATTTCAGAATTGTATTATTCTTAGTAATTTCTGTCAGACCTTGAGGAACAAAGTTTGAAGGAAATATTTTCAACCAAGAATCTTGTCATACATTCACTCTCCTTGAGCTATTTCTTTTCTGTAAACTGAAAGGACTCAACTGGTTTATTTCCCTGAAAATCCTAATTCACAGTAATAGTACATTCTAGCTAAATCTAGTTTGATGATTTTCTCTGACATAGCAGTGTGACCTATACGAATTTTAAACTGTTTCTTAATGTTACCCATGTTGCAGAGATTATTGGCTCCTTACCATATGAAAAGTAAAGACACTATTAACCAGCCTACCTGCCAAGGGTCAATCAAATGTATGGCCAGCCTGGAGCTGCATTCTTCACTTTCTTGACCTGTATGGCTCATCTAGCAACTGCAGCTAATCCCTGCCTATGAGGCAAAGCTCAATGTTAGAAAAATGATACTTACCTAATACTGAGTCTTCGGAAAACCACAAATTATAGAAAACTACTCTTAGCTTTTTCCAATAATATCATAATGAAACTTTGATTCACAGTTTTTAGTGTTTGGAGGTTATGGATTATTTTAATCCTCTGGAAAGGACATGTCTTTACTGAATTGTAACTGTCTAAAAGGTATAAAATTTATAAACATTAGAAGCTCATGATTTTTATGAAATTTTAAATTGTAAATGGCTTTCCAGGTTTGATAATTATATCTATATTTATTATGTATATATATTTTTCAGGGAGTAAGTTTTTACTTTTTTCTATTAAAGGAATGCTTATTGGTTTTACAAGTACTATCACACAATTATGAAATGGACTGGTTATATTATAAATCAAAGGCAAAACAGGAGAAATACTTGAAAAACCTTTAGAGGATGATTTAGGTGAAAGCAACAGCAAATTATGCATGAAACTATGAAAATTGCAGGATCATTTTAAACATACTTACATACATATGTATGGATATACCCACACATGTCTCTCTATATGTCTGTACACTAGGGATCATTGATTACATATGGTGAAAGTTTAAATTTTTAAAATGTATTATAGCAATAGATATATTGCCAATAATTCTCCTCAAAATACACCCTCAAAATTTTTTGTTTTGATTTTTTTTGAGATAGAGTCTCACTAAGCAGTTCAGGCTGAATTTGAACTCACTTTGTAGCCCAGGTTGGCTTCAAACTCATAAAAATCTTTCTTCCTCAGCCTCCCAAATGCTGAAACTACAGATATGTGCCACCATGTCTGGCCTTACATCCTCAGTTTGAACACACTTACCTCAACATTCTTCAGCCTTTATGAAGAAGTACTGAATATCCACTTTCATGGTGAGGTGTGAACAAAATTCAGTTAATTCTGCTGCCAAGGACTGTGCAACAGAAAGGAAGGGCTGAAGAAAATGCTGTGATGTGTCCTCAAGTACATCCTTTATTCACTGTACCTGGCACCTGGCAACTTCTTCCTTAGTGTCACTTCAGAAAGTGGAAAGGGTCATTTTATGCTAGAGAAAATGTTTACTGCAATAAATTTTTTAAAATTGTGTATTCACTGTATTCTTGATCATGCCTCCCACACATACACATCTTTCTATATATGTTTGAATATTAATATTTCTGCATATGTCTTTTGGTTCAATTAAATCACCAAGTGATACTTGCTATTAGTCCTGAAATTACACAGAAGTTTATTTTTTCATTGATAGAGAACTGAACAGATAAATTGAGGACAATGCAAATCAGCACTCTACTTCATATATGTAGAAAAGCAATTTATTCCTGCTTATAACTATTCTTGCCTTATAACTAAATATTTTCTCCTTAAGGTTAAAGTGCTACACATACTGACCAGACAGATAACATATGCTCAATACGTGTTCTGCTCCTGTTTTTACATGGTTCACAAATAGCTTTTCCTCATGTGTACTTGCGGAAACTTGCCTCCTCACCACACAGCTGTGGCAATGTGCACAATAGTGTGTGCATCATCTTCCCAATTCAGTAATTTTGGGCATAATTCTCTGCAGTCTTCTGTTTGCTGATAATCTCATGATGCATTTTTCTAAGTCCCTTTCATTGTTGCATGTCCACAATTATGCCACGAATACAAAGAATACTGCAGCGTGTCTCTGGTGCAATAGTGCCCTGAGGAATCTAAGTGTGTTCTCACTGTCTGTAAACAACTACCAGTACTTGTCTGCGAGGAGATATAAAACAACATGCATGGAAACTAGAGATATAAAAGTCTTACCTTATACCAAAGAGGAATCTCTTTAAAATGAGAAAGTTAAAACTGTCTGTAGAACTCACAATTAATGCAGAGTTCTCTGCTGTCCATTCTGTAATGTTGGTGAGATATATTTTTAATTCATTTGCTCTCCAAATATCAGAGATGAACTCACTTCTTGTTTGAGGTTGTTTTTGAATTGTCTTATGATGATACAGTAGATTTTTCCCTTTTGGGTGAGCTGAGTCTAATGCACACCCAAAGAGAGTTCTATGGTCACGTGAGACCATTACACCCTTGACATTCCATGGAGGTTCTTCCTCTCCACTAGGAAAATCATCCTCTGTGGACCTATAATATTTTGTGATGTCCACAAAACACAGTTTTCACCCTGACATAACACTGGAATTTAGTTAGTTCTTATTTATCTGAAAAACAAATTAAGTAATTGAAATTCAACTTATTGAAATATATTTGGGATGTGAATAATCTCACAGGATATTTTTTCTATTTAATACTATTCCCATTATTTTGAAAATTTGCTAGGTCTCAGAGGTCGAAGGATCTGCATACAAAAATAGGAAAATGGCTTCTAATTGAAGCTGATGCCTAGAAAATTAGCCAGAAAGATTTTGAGGGAGAAGGCGAAATCCTTGGTAGAAAAACCCACTGCAGCCAAATTTCCAAATATTGCATAGCCACTCAGAAATTTGTTTCCAATATTTTGTAATGAAAACTTTAAACCTTAAGACAATGTTTCAAAAATTATACTTTGGGAAGTAATATTTACACTATCCTGATTTTTCTGAAACTGTACTACTGTCCAAAAAACTATTCCAA